TCGTGTACGAGCTAAGACATCTACCCATATAATGTCTGACTTACCATCGTCTAGAGTCGTTCCGTCAAAGGTTTTCTGCAAGGTTGGAATTGACTACGCCGGGCCATTTCAAGTAAAGCCCAGGCAGGGTCGAGGAGTAAAACCAATGAAATGCTACATTTGTGTATTCGTATGTTTTACTATAAGAGCTATACATATTGAATTAGTAAGTAATATAACATCAGAATCATTTATTGCCGCTTTGAAGCGCTTGGTATCTCGAAGAGGAAAACCAATGGAAGTTTTTCCTAGCTCAGGATAATATTGTGCGTATCGAGATGCTCAAAACTGCTAATGGAGTTTTCAAAAGGCCAATTCACAAAATTAGTGTTTTGCCTATCAGTGATTAAGTTTTTTTTTTTTTTTTTTTCTAAAGCATTATAACATTGTACCTTGCTTTAACTATAATTAAGTTCTTGAATTGTATCAAGGCTTCTGTGCATCTGTTGTGAGAACAATTTAGTTTAATTTCATAATTTCATATTATGTTTTCTTGTGAATACTTTAATGACACAGTATTTGCATAATTTAATATTGTAATGATAATTTCATTTTGTAAAAGCTATTTAGATTTGAAACGATGTTTCAACGCCGGGCGGAATGTTTTGGCCACCAGAGCTCTCTGCCTGTCTGTGAGATATTATTTCGCAATGCGCAGATTGTATGCGCAGCTCGCATTTTGTTCTTGCATTCTTAAAACCGCTAATTGTAACTCTGTCGTTTTACTTTGTGCTGTGTTGTGTTCGAAAGTTCAAACTGCCGAATAAAGGTTAATCTACAGTCCACTCGCATTGATGTATTCTTATGTTTATTAATTTAAATTTAAGATACAGCTACGCTACAAAAAGTTAATCACAAACTTTCTGTAAAATACATCCAGTACATGTTAACACCATGAACATATTTTTCTGGAATCTTCTATATTCGTGAGTCTATAAATCTTGCCTTCAAATCCTTCTAAACTTTCCAAGTTCCAATGTCTAAAATCCTAAAGAAAAATTACCTCTACCAATTCTGTAACAGCAAAAAGGAAGAAATATTTTCAAAAAAAGGAAAAAAGTATAAAATTAATTTTATAGAGAAAACTGATGCATATTGAGACAACTACACGGGAAAAACTATCAACATGAAAAAATGAAAACAAAAGCATTTTTAATTAATTACATAGCTATTTTGCATTTGCTAAGAATTGTTTTATAAATTGTGCTAAAGCGGAAAGCATTTATTACCTTGTTTATTTTTCAGATTCAAAAATATTGTATATGGTCGCCAAAAATTGAAGTAATGTCACTTTATTTGATAGCAAAAAATAAAACTATTTAATTTTAATGTTATTTCTTGAATACAATTTCAATATATTAGCATTATTTTAATGAAATTCATCAAAGTCATAATACTTAAAAAAATATTGTCGAAACCTTCCCAGATTTGCGAATTAAAAATTTTCTATAGAAACTGATCTTAAAATCAACAAAATGTTGAAAAGTCGCCAAATTTGGAACCGTTTAATTAAGAATTCACATTCCCAAACATAAAAAGTTGTTTAAGAGCTCTTTATTAGGAAAAACGAAATAATTTCGAATAGCTTATGTTTCACTTCTTGCTCAGAAGCTTGAGTATCCCACCATTTATATTCGAAATAGGAACAAATTATAATCCATGAACACATTCAAAATTTGCCAATGGATCATCAAAAATATTTGCCCAAAATGCTAATTAACATTCAAAATGGCAGTCATAAAAAATGACAAATTTCAGATGATTAAAATTAACGACCTCCTGCTGGTTTTGGCCAAAATTTTGGCAAAAAAAAAAAAAAAAAAAGGGGGGGACTTTTAAGGACCAAAAATCGATTCTAAAAAATCTAAGGACTTAAGGACCGTACGAACCCTGTAGTAAACAGATGATTACAGCTTTAGTTTGTGTTACTATGGATAGGAGTGAAAAGCCTAAATTATTAGTGATTGGACAGTCCAAGAATACACTGAGTTTTAAAGGAATTCGAACACTGTCAGTTGATTATGTATGCAATACAAAAGCATGGATAACATAAGACATCTTCAATAACTGGTTAGAAGGAAGAGATAAACAGTTTTCGAGGGGAAAGCGTGAAATTCTATTATTTGTGGATAACATAACCTACCATAACAACCTTCCAGAACTGACAAGACAAAAGAAGGGGGGAAAAAACCTTATCAGATTCAGAAGAGAATGCAGGGACCATTAAGTGTCCTAATGATCAATCCATAATGGACTCTATAAAAACTCTGAAAGCATTTATTCAGATTGGACCTTCTAAAAAAGGAACTGAAATGTTTACTTCAAATGAAGAAGCTGGCTGAAAAATGCAGGCATAATAAACAAAACCAAACTTCCCTTTTACAGTTTTTCCCAAAAGTGTAATTCCTACTTTTATTTAAAGTTTACTTCTACTGCATATTTTCTGTTGCATTTTATGATTTATTGCTTTTTAATAGGTTTAATTTTAGACAGGATAGTATATTTTCTGGAGTTATAAATATTAGGATATTTTCCTCCTTCAGTGATACACTTTTAAAGTTATATTTTCTCTTAACGTCAGATAATTCAAATTCTTTTCTGAGAATCATTGAGTTAAAATTAACGAGCATCCACTGGCTTATTAATTCAGTGCCTTGCATATTTTTAAGCTTACAGAATTAATATGCCAGGAAGAAATGTATTGTTATAAGAAGGCTTTACCTCATCTTTACAAAGTAAGAGTCTGATGATAATACAGCTTTTTCCATTTTATACCATTATTTTAATTTACATAAGATGGCAAAAATTATTTTGACTCCATTTTTAGTTTTTAATTTATTTTTAATTTTAGTTCACTCCATTTATAATTTTCAGTACCATTAATTTGCTCAGTTAATATTTTATTGTTTATTCTTTCATTTTTTTTTTCTTTTGCCTTTTTAGTTTTAATTTAATCTCTATTTACAAATTATATCTTAGCAGCATTATGCACAGGTTATGTTTTTTAAATCCTGATTACATATGTATATTTTTCCGAATTTAATTATATACTATATATATGTAAGATAAAAAAAAAATATGAAAACAAACTTCTAAATTTAATTCACAATAACTTCTTTTATTTTCTATTTCATTTGGGAACTTCATCTATCTGTCCTAAAAATAGCGCTTAAGTCTAAACTGTGTGATTCAAATTAATCATGTGATCTTACGTAACCCTTAATGCAGATGCCTCTTACCCAATCACCAAATTGCAAACCAAAACTTTTCCCTTCGCGTGCTTCCATCTTGCATAACTACGAACTTCAGCTTTTGCTCTCTACTGTGCTAACATGTAATTTTGCTGGCTTGCTTTCTATCTCAACAATATCAAAAATGTAAATCTTCTGTGGAAAGGCCCGACTAGAGTGCCAAGTGATTGTGGCCACAAATACCAATTGGAAATAAAAATGGAATTAAAATTACCTCGACTGCCAAGTTCTTAGATACCATGCAATCAAAATTCTTCTTCAATATGGATCTAAGCACGCATCGACAGTGTTCCGGCTTTTCTGTGTGCTCATAATATTTCAATTATGTGCAAGATAAAAAATATAAAAGAAAATTTCTAAATTTAATTCACTATAACCTCTTTTATTTTCTATTTCATTTGGGAACTTCATCATCTATCTGTCCTAAATATAGCGCTTAAGTCTAAACCGCGTCATTCAAATTAATCATACGATCTTACGTAACCCTTAATGCGGATTTCTCTCGACCAATCACCTAGTTGTAAAACAAAACTCAAACTTTTCTCTCCCCCCTTCTTTCTCTGCATTACTACTGCGACACTCACTCTCTTCTGGCTTCCATCCTGTTAAGACACTTTTGCTTTAGCTTTTCTCCTGGCCAGACACATTACGGCTACCTTCTTTATTCAAGGAATATGTGTTGATGTAACAAAAATGGAGAGCGCATAGGACGCTCGTCCGTATGTGAACCAAATATTGCGAATCCTGACTTGCTTTCCTCAGTAATAAAGTTATCTTGAATCCGAACATGTTTGCCAAGTTTCTTCACTGCTCATCTATTACGCCACCGCCAAGCTCCAAATCATTCATTTTATATTATTAGTCAGACAGGATGTATATCTGCTGCCTAGAACTCCAATGGGAAAAGTATCTGCAAGTTCACTGTTCTTAAGTTTAGATATCACCGAGTATCCAAATATGGTACTTAAACTTAATTTTGCAAATTCTTCAGAAAAAGTGCGTGGAACTAACTCCCAATGCAGTGCTTCCAAAATTTGAGCTTTCATTACATATATATATATGCCGATATAACAAATATGATGGCTGCTTTAAGAATGATTGGCGACCTCAAAATTAACGATTCTAGATTTTATGCTCTCCCCTTAAATACATCTGTTCTCCCAAATTCAAGATCTTTCAATGTTGCACCCATCATAATTTAAACACTTCAATTCTCAAATATTGTGCCCATTAGATATTATAATATTAATTTCTGTATTATTTGAATATTCCTAGTATATGATGCACCCATCATAATTTAAACATACTCGTGTAAATAACGTTAACAGAGTGTAAATTGTGTATTTCAGTTCTCCGTAGTTTTCTCTCGTTTCCTTGTATATTGTATAATTGAATTAATTGTTTGTTTTGATTTTTTCCCTTTTTATTGGGTTATCTTATGTGTAGCTGTTTAATAATTTATTAACACTGTGCATTCCCCCTATTTTTTGTTCTTAGCTATTAGCTCATACTTATTATGTGATTTTATTTTTAATACTGTTTATTGTGTTCAGCTAAGGCACTTCCAAGTGTTTAATTCTAAGTTTACCCGTATATGCTTGTTTAAAGAGGCTGGCGGTCGAGGCTCTGTACCCTACTGAGAGGAGTCTCTCAGTGCGACGGTGCATATAATTCTGTGAAATTACCATCTTAGTGCTAAGTTATACCTACCTGTATTATATAGCTCACAAACTTCAAAATCCCAAGCAAACTCAGATGGTGCTATCATTATGTGAATGCTTCCCCTTCATCTGACACGCGTTCCACTACTATCAACTCACCAGCTTCCAGAATCGAGACCATCAATCATCTTAGCGACCAACTACATTCATTTTTAATGCAAACAAAGAGACAGCCGCAAATTCAGCGTGAGCGAGGAAAATCTTTTTGGTTCATTAATTACTTCTATCCGCAATACTTTTGCAGAACAAGAAGTGTACTGTGCAAGGAAAATTTCAGCTGCTGCAACAGCAACTTAGCGTGAATGATAATCGTTCTTTAACAGCTCCGACCTCACCAGAAGACCTTCCAGAACAGATGGTAACAGAAGAAACTCCATTTACTGAAGTCAAAAAGAGAAAAGAGAAAAGGAAAGCACATACTGAGCAACTTAACAAACAGTTATCAGAGCACGTCCTTCTTTTTAAAAGCAAAAGAAAAACAGACAGAACTCCAGAGCAAGTCAGATCACAACTGACTACTGAACTTAGTGCCAGGGAACTGGGCATTACTGTTGAAGAAGTGCGGCCCACACGCTCTAACGAACTTTTAATTAGGTGCAGCCACAGACAAAATATAGAAACACTCAGGAAAGCGATTGAGGAAAAGCCCTTACTCTCAGCAGGAGCCACGCTCAGAGAGCCCTCTTTCAGAAGTCCACAATAATCGTCTTTGGTACCCCCACATCCGCAACAGCAGACGACATACGTGAGGCTTTTGCGAGCCTGGTGCCCTCAGCAAGTGAAGAACAAATACATCCAAGAAATCCTATTCGCACAACTATCGGCCTCACTTGGATCGTCGACCTACAGCAGAATCTGTACGAGGATATTAAGGACCTTAGAAGAATTCTTATAGGATTCAGCTCTTGTGCTTTCAGAAAATACTTTCAAGTTGCAAGGTGTTTTAATTGTCAGCGGCTGGGACACTTGAGTCATTCTTGTAAAGCAGCGTTGGCCTGCGTAAACTGTGGACAAGCTCATAGCCAGGATAACTGCAAAGCAAAGACTCCACACTGCGTCAATTGCGCAACTCACAATAAATCCAAAGGCACTAGCTTCGACACCACACACCCGTCTAGTGCAAGACAATGTCAAGCCTACAAGGCAGAACTGTTCAGAATGAAAACAACGGCGCAGTGGTAGATGAACAGCAGGATATTGCATATCCAAGAACAGTTCATGGTTTTGCAGTTCTTCAAGGCAACTTGCAACGTTGCCAAGCCGCAAAGGTTATTCTAGAAAACAATGTAGATCTAGCCACACTATTCGAGTATCATTCCACTAACAACAGGATCACAGGATTCAGCAAATTCAAAACTTACCATTCCATAGGCAATCAAGCAGCCATCGCCTACAATGGTCCACTCACACCCCTGCTTATGCATAAAGGAGATTACACAGTTACTGTACAGCTGGAAGGGCCTTATGGTCAGATTGCCATCACCAGCGTGTATTTTCCTCCTTCACATGACATTGTCACTGCACTCCAGGAGCTGGAACAAGTCATGATGATTCCGACTAGGAATAAGATAATCACTGGGGGACTTTAACGCTGCTAGCCCTCTATGGGGTGCGCCAGAGGAAAACAGGCGTGCTTGCCCTGTCCTTGACTTCATCACTTCTCATAACCTTGCAGTCGTCAACCCCACCGACAGCCCTCCTACATACTGGACTACCAGGGCTCAGGGGTGGCCTGATATCACTTTAGCCACCACTGGTATTCTTAATAATATTCACAATTGGAAGGTTAGCGAAACCCCCCATTCAGTGACCATCGCTACACTGAGTTCAGAATTGATTCGGAGCGCACCAATTTATAACAAAGAACAGATGGAAAATGAAGTACATAAACCTCAACAAATTTAAAGATGCACTCGCAAACCATATTGAAAGTCTCGACTCACAATGTAACAGTTGCAACAGTGGTAAAGACATCGACGCTATGCATGAAGATCTTATGCAAACACTGCTCTCAGTATACAAAAAAAGTCTTGAAAAGGAAAAAATTATGCAGCCCCAAAATGCACCCCTTGGTGGAGCACCACGCTGACTGCTGAACGCAGCAAAGTCTGTGCCCTAAGGCGCAGAATGCAAGCATGCAAGGATCCCATAGAAAGAGAGACACACTTGGTAATTTTTCGAAAGCACAGAGCTGTTTACAAAAGAAATATTGTAAAAGCAAAGTTTTCATCCTGGAAAGAGTACTGTACAAACACAGCGAATAAGTTCAGAACTGTCTTCCGTATTGCACATGACAAGATGTTTACACCTACTAATCTTACTGCCACAATAAGCCACGGAGCAGCAACTAGCACAGAAGTAGTTGCGCACATTCTGGACAATATCTTTAGACCTGATAACGCAGACACAGATAATCCCGCACAAAGAAATATCAGAGCCAGCGTTGAGCAATATTACAATACCAAGAAAACAGATTTAGAACCGCTGCCAAACCCCAAAGGAATGAGCAACATTGTTAAATCATTAAACACCACTAAAGCCGCAGGTCCTGATGGGATAGATAATGGCATTCTGAGAGCCATTAACAGTACGCATCCGGTGTAACTGTATGCCTACATTACTGCATGTTGGCGCAACAGATACTTTCCAGCTGGCACAGAACGTGGTGAGGTGGTGCTCTTCCTTAAAGCAAAAAAAGACCCTAATGTACCAACGTCTTACCGGCCTACGGCCTATTTGCCTTCTTCTTGCTTTGGGTAAAGTACTAGAAAGAGTCGTCCTTCAAAGACTTAAACACTATATCCTTTCTGGACAAAGTATAAGTGAAAAACAATATGGCTTCATTCCTGGCAGATCGGTGGATCACGCGCTGTAGCACCTATGAAAAATAATAGCAAATAACAGAAGAAATAACCAGCATAGTTTCATTATCTCTGTGGATATACAGGGCGCCTTCGACATGGAGGTTACAGGACATGGGTTGCCCTAAGATCCTCTTTGACTTTATTTACAGCTACCTAAGTGATCGCCGCTTACAAGCCACTGCGGATGCAGGAGTGCACTCACATTCCATCAATAGATGCCATCCTCAAGGATCCTGTCTGGGTCCACTGCTTTGGAATCTTGTAGCCGACACAGTGCTAACTCTCTTTAACACAGATCCTCACACGGAAATACTGGCTTATGCCGATGACTTTTTGCTGGTAACCAAAGGGCACAGCCGCAACGCATATGAGACTAGGGCGCAACAAGCAATGGACAAGATGGCCAAATGGGCCAATGACCATAAGTTAACTATTGCCAACTCAAAAACCCAAGGTATGCTTATTTGCCCAGGTAAGCAGCATTGAAGAAGTCCGTGCATGAACCTTTATGCCAAAAATATTGAAATAGTCAGAAACTTGAGGTACCTTGGAGTTGTAATTGACGACACATTCACTTGGATGCCATGTTTAAAGGAAGTCAAGGCACGACTTCACAGGAATATTTCATTCCATGGTCAGAACAGCCGCACCAACATGGGGAGTTTCTTTGAGGATGCTTAAGACAAGGTACTCTGTAGTTGCTGAGCATATTGCACTGTATGGGGCCTCCATGTGGGGCATTACGATCACTACTAAAATGGAGAATCTGCTATGCTCACCACAAAGACCATTCCTCCTAAGCAATTCCCGAGGATATAAAACCTCACCCACTAATGCTCTAAACGTGATTTCAGGACTACCGCCTCTGCATCTCTTAGCTCAGCGCGAGAGTGCAAAAGTGCGAGTGCTCCGACTCAAAGAGACAATAAGTTTATGGGATAGGACTTTTGTTTATACTGACTATGAGCAAAGCATTTAACGAGCCACCTTGCCACCCGGCCGAATTCAACATCTCGATTAACTGCAAGGTCACCAACGTGATTCAAAGCCACTGCAATATACACTGATGGTTCCAAAGGAGAATGTGGCACCGGTAGTGGATACTGTGCTCTACATTGGAACCAGATGTTAAAGACCTGGGAAAGAAAGTTTAAGGACTACAACTCAGTTAAAAATTTGATTCTTCCAACGATTGAAGTTTTTGTGAACAATATTCCAGCCACCGTACTTTTGGATACAGTGTTCCTGTGCGGCAGAAGATTTTTTTAGGAAATACTTCCGTAAATATAGAATATATAATTCGGATAATACGATAGTGTTAGCTGCGCAGGGGGAAAGATGCAAATGCATAGGAAAAATACCATTCTATATCTGTATTAAGGACGAGCAGGTAAAAATTATGTTTTTTATCGTAAAAAAATCTACAAGCGAATGTAATTTTAGGGATAGATTTTCTTTCAGAAGCAGAAGCAACACTGGATTTTAACCAAGCGTCCCTTAAGCTGACCATGAAACCAGTGCTTGAAGAAAAAAGAGAACCACCCACGTTAAATCTCAAGCACCTGCCTACGGGAGAGCAACAAAAAATTCCGCCAAGTGGTAAGTGAATTTGCTTCGTTATTTAGTGATATTCCCGGATTTACTCAAGTTCGACGAACCATAATATCGACACAGGAGATTCACTGCCAGTTCGCCACAAGCCGTATCGGTACGATAAGAATAAAGAAAAAATTATAGAGTGGCACATTCGAGATATGTTACGTAAAAAGATCATAACGCCCATCTCAAGTAGTTATGCTAGCCCGGTTGTGTTATGTAAGAAAAAATAACGATTATCCAGTAAACACATCCGAAAAACGGTGGCGTTTCGCAATTGACTATCGTAAATTAAACTCCATAACTAAATATCCGGTATATCCGTTACCTATTATTGAAGAAATTTTAAGGAAACATAACTTCTACGAAATATATGACTACGTTAGACTTAACGACTGGTTATTTTCAAATAGGGGTAAACCAGAAGACGTGCCTAAGACTGCTTTTATAACCAAGTCTGGCACTTATGCATTCTTGCGTATGCCGTTTGGCCTTTCAGGGGCACCGGCAACATTTCAGCGATGTATGGACATTGTACAAGGCCTGTTCTAGGAAAGTCACACATTTATCTATATTTAGACGATATCATTATTACTAGTGATAATTTGGATAAACATAAAAAAGATTTGAGAGAGGTGTTTTCATTATTAAATGAAGCCGTCTAAAAGTTAATGTTTAAAAGTGTAAATTTGCAGCCCCAAATTAAAATATTTGGGATACAAAATATCTCAGAAAGGAATCGAGACGGACAAATCAAAAACGCTAAGTATCCGCCCAAGTGAGAGCTCTTTTAGATTTTTTTAGGGTACTACCGAACGGGTATTTTGTAACGGGTACTGAAAATCGGTACATCCAAGTACCCGTTACTTCAGTACCGAAATCGGTACTTTTGGTATTCGTTACTTCTGTACCGAAACGGGTACTTTTCGGTATTCGTTACTTCTGTACCGAAACGGGTACTTTTCGGTATTCGTTACTTCTGTACCGAAACGGGTGCTTTTTGATATTCGCTACTTTGTAACGAAAATATGCGTCTCTTCTCGGTATTTCGGTATTCGTTACTGGAGGATCGATGAGGGTTCAGCTCACTTCGGTTTTGGTACGAGGACAGTAGTATCTGGTTGTATTTGCGAAATGGTGATATGCGCTCCTTGTGTCCATGAATGACCTTGAAATAGGGCATGGAATGGCAAACGTGAAAGGGGGGGAACTTCCGTTCCGTTCGTCACGGAGACTAGAGTTTGAGGTAGTATAATTAATTGCCTTTGTGTGCGCGGGAGGACGAGTGTGAAATAGTGGAAATTTTTCGAAAGGCCGTTCGTTGTGTGTGTGTGTGGGGGGGGGAATAGTAGCAGTTGGAGTCACTGTCGCCGGCATTGCTCGCTTGTGATTGGAGTCGGTATAGTCAGGAGGGAAAGGGAGGGGAGCGCTAGATGATTTGCAATCCGAATTGTGCATGTTTTAATTTTTCATCGTTTGTAGGAGAAAAACTGCGTGGATCTGAAATGATTGATTTGGTAAGTTGCTGTTGTTGGATTGGTGAATGGAATCAACTACCAACTAGATTACTTCCTTTTCCTCAACATATTTTTAGCATAAATCATGAAAAATATTTTTCGTTTGCTTGCTTAATAGGGCAACGTAAATCATATGATCCTTTTTTTATCCCGCTGTACCTACTTCAGAAAATGTCACAGCATCTAGTGGATCACTAAGCCAATCAACATAAAATACAGACGCAATTTTAAACTTTTCTAATGAAAGAACAAAGATAACTGACCCACTTATGATAATTCTTCCCCCTTCTAAAAACAGATTTTCATCTCGCCAAAAACTAAACCCAGGTCACGTGCCTAACGCAGGATTGTCAACGCCTGCTTTACCCCCCAGGACGTGACGACGCTCCTCCGATAGGAAGAGAGGTGAACTTTGACCTGGCAGTCCGAATCTTTTTTTTTTTTTTTTTACTCCCTCTGGAGCTTATTTGAGGGGGGGGAACTATCGAATGGAACACCGGAAATTATCCGGACATGTTTATGTAAACATACATGTCCCTCCCTTTTTTTCCTTTGCATTTTTTGCTCTTTCATGCCTGATTAATAGAATCATTAGGCGATATTGCACTTACCCTTTTCACAGCGTAGTGCTGATTTTAGAATTTGCAGCTGGAGTGAACAGCGGAAGTCGTTAATAGAATTTTTTTATGCTTATCTGACGATGCTGATGACCATCTCCCAACTTCGTCACTTTTCCCATAAGATTCATTCTTGTCTCGTACTGGTGAGTATCGGTACGTTATAGAATTGCTTAGTCTCTATCAGTTTCTTACGCCTCAGAAAAAAAAAATCGAATTACAAAATGTCTAGTAAGAAAAGGAAATTCAGCTTGGTTTGGCAGCACTTTTCCTATACTAATGAAGACGAAAAAGTTATGTGTGTGACATTTGTAAAGACCTTTTATCCATCAAAGGTGGTTCAACAGGAAATTTAAAAAAAACATTTGCAAAGGAAGCATCCTTGTGTAAATCTGCACGAGAAACGCGCTTTGCCGAATCAAGATGTTGATGATATTGATGCCGCTCCAGCCCGTTCTGTCGTCACTAGCCCTGCAGATGGTGGGCAACCATGCACATCCCAGCAGACTACACAACTTACGGTAGACAACAGTGCTTGTGATATTGTTGGTGTATTTTCACAAAAATCCCAGTCCAGCATAATGCAGTTTGTCCAGAGAAATACGATGGATGTACATAAAAAAAAGTAATCGATCGCGCACTGATCAAAATGGTATATAAGGATTTACAACCAATAAGTATCGTAGAAAATGAGGGATTCCGAGAATACTCAAAGGCTTTGAATCCAACCTATTCCTTACCTTCAAAACGGTTTCTAAAAATCCTTCTATTCCTTACCTTCACGGAAAACGGTTTCTAAATCCTTGCTTCCTGCTGCTTATGAAGAAAAAAAGAATAGTTTAAAAAACGTTCTTAGTGCTGTACAAAATATCTGTTTGACTGTAGACTGTTGGAGCAACCAAAAGGCTGAAAGTTACATGGCCGTGACAGGCCATTTTATTGACGAACACATGCAAAGGAAAACGGTACTGATTGACTGCTCAATTTTTGATGAACGTCATTCAGCCAAAAATATTGCAGAAAATATCATACACATTTGCCAACCATATTTTCCGATGGAAAAAGTGTCTTTAATAGTGACTGACAATGCCAAAAATATGATTAACGCTGTCGACAGCGAACTAAAGTTAAAACATTTAGGATGCATTGCACACTCTCTCAATTTGGCTGTCACAAATTCTCTAAACGAGGTTAACGACCTTCTAACGAAAATTAGGGATATTGTGATAGTTTACAGGAGAAGTAATATCGCTGCAAAAAATCTGCGAAAATATCTGTGCTCTAGCGAGGAGAGAAAAGACTTAAAAGTCATCTTAGATGTGAAGACTCGTTGGAACAGCACGTTTTATATGGTAAAACGTTTCCTTGAACTGAAAGACGCTATTCGTTCTACAATGGGTTTGATGAACGACCCCCCAGAGGCTCTTGATGTGCCAGAATGGGAAAGTGTCCAACATCTTTGTGACGTTTTGAAACCTTTTGAAAAGGTGACTTGCGAGTTGAGTTCGGAAAAATACTTGTCAGCATCTATGGCGCCTGTGTTAATCGGCGGACTTCAAAAAATCTGTGAAAATCTGCTTAGTAAAAGTGTTAATGAACAAGTACAAAATGTGGTACTAGTACTACAACGTGAATTGGGTAATAGATTTACAACTATCGATTCAAGAGAAGACATTGCTCAAGCCGCTTTCCTTGACCCCCGAATAAAAAAATTGGGGCTCAAATGTGATGTCGCCAAAAAAATTGAAAGTGATATTATCTGTGAGTTATCGGTAGTTGCACAAACTACCCATAATCTTGTTGAGGATGATGAAGAGATAGACTAATCATCGGTTTGGTTTGAGTTTGAGAGTAAAGTTAAAGACTCTCGAACTTCATCAGCTCCCGCAGCAGACGCGGCGATCGACAAAGCTGCGGCAGAAGTGAAAAGATACCTGCAAGAGCCCATTCTTTCCAGGAAATCTGATCCACTGGAGTGGTGGGAAAAGAATAAAAATGTATTTCCTAATTTGTATGAATTATCACGGAAAAAATTAGGCCTTGTGGCTACTTCAGTGCCATGCGAAAGGGTGTTCTCTAAAGCTGGATTAATACTGAATGATCGGCGAAACCGTTTGAGTGGACAAAAGTTGAAACAACTAATTTTCTTACATTACAATTATAATATTTAATCATTTGTTGACCTTCTTAAAATTCCAACCTAAGTTCAGCTTAAAATGTTTATTTTCCGCTGCATTATTTTCAAAACTGTTTCTGGGAGTCAATTTTTTTATGCTTAATTTTTCGTTACATATTTTAAGTGGTCTTTATAAAAAAAATAGAAGGAATTAAATGCCTAAAATTTCCATAAAGTTAAAAAATTTGATACTTTTATAACGTTTTGCACAGCCTATCAAAGTTTTATTTGTTTTAATTAAATGAAATATTACTTCATTCAAATGTCAATTTCTTAAAAAAAAATATTATTTTGAAATTGTATTTAGATTATTAATATAATATAAAGTTCTACAGTTCTATTATTTACTTAGCTGTACTCACATATGTTAAGTTCTCATATAGTTGAAAGCATGCTATCTTATTTTCTAGTGTTTAAATCATCTTTAATTTAAATTTTTATATCGAATGTACTTATTGAATTCATATAATGCGATTTTACAAATATTTTTGTTGCTTTTTGCTGTTACAGCATCCAGATATTACGTTCTCGTAGTTTTAAAGACATGCTGCCTTATTTCCTAGTGTTTTTAATAATCTTTCACTCAAAATTCTTATGTCGAATGCGCTTTGGCTGTAATTTGAGTTTTAAAAATATTTTTTACCATTCTGTTGCATTTTTGTGTTTACAGCAGTTACTGCATCCAGGTATTGCGCTCTCACAGTTTTAAACCCTTTGCTATCTTATTTTCTAGTGTTTTTTGATAATCTTCAATTCAAAATTGTTATATTGAATGTGCCTTTTAAAATCATATTGTGCGTTTTTAAAAATATTTTTAACCATTTTGCTGAAATTTACTTATTACTGTAGTACATCCAAATATATTACATTATCTCACTTTTCAAAACATACCTCATTTTCTAGTGCTTTTGGTAATTCAAAATGTTTAAATCAAATATATATGTTTATGCATTTTTTAAAATCATATTTTTTGTTTTTAAAAATATTTCTAATCATTTTGTTGTTTATTGTACGGTGCCAAATCTCCAAAAGTACAAATTTAACTCAAAATAAACCTAAATGTAATTTAAAAAGGAACAGTATAAACTTTTTTGTGGAAAAGCTCTTCAACCATGTGTATATGAATAAATGTGTAAATTTTATTTTATGCCAGTATTGTACAATTAAACACACAAGGTCATTTATGTTATATTTAATGTTTAAATTATCTTACTTTTTTATTCAGAATTTTTAATATACTATATAGGGGACAGTAGAGAACAAGAGATTTATCTTTTTGAAAATTTGGTAGCTTGAATAAGTTTTATTTCGCAGTGGTACTGAAGGTCATTATCTTATCTATAAGTGGGATAAAGGTTTGTGATTATTTTAATTTCTAGACCCTACGACCCCTATTTTACCTTTATTTTAAACATTTTTATTTTAATTTCAAAATATGTCATTCCCCCGCCTTGTCACAAACTGTCACAATTTCACTAACCCCCTCCAAGCGTGACATCATTTATGGACGACCTCTTTCACGAAATTGATAGAGCACCCATCGATTTTGCTGCACCTGCAACACAAGACACAACCGAAAAGCGAAAATGTTTCCATCCATCCACTTCCCGCGCCAATCCTCCCAACCCCCCACTGGCCATCAAAGACAATCTACACAAACCCAACACCAGAAACAACCTGCCGCGCTCTCCTGCTCCTCAGACACTTCCGTAGTTGACATGTTTTCTGATATTCAAAATCTTACTCCGTACAGATAAAATCAAACACGTGGTGACGTGGCAGAGTTCCTTCAGTGCGCAAAATCGTTAGCTGCGTATTTCGGTACTCCAAATCGTTACTAGGGTACTTCGGTACTCCAAATCGTTACTAGGGTACTTCGGTACTCCAAATCGTTACTAGGGTACTCGGTACAGCAAACCGTTACTAGGGTACTCCGGTACAGCAAACCGTTACTCCGGTATTTCGTTACTCCAAATCGTTACTTGGGTACTCGGTACTTGAAATCGGTTTTCGGTACTTTTCAAAGTAACGGTTACTTGAGTAACGGGTATTTTGTACCGGGTACTTGTCTGTACCCGTTACTCTCGTACCGGGTACAAGAAAGTACCGAAGTTGCCCATCACTATGAACCTTATAAAGATTCAAATCCCAAAGTTAAAAGTTTTACCTTTTATTTAAATCTAATATTTTGAAATTTTTTTCCTTTTGCCCCAAATCGATTCCACATTAGTAAATAGACATTAAAATTTGATAAATATTTGCCATCAATAAAATATTCCTCCAAAATTATAATTCACCAGCAAAATGGCAGTCTAAAAAACCAGGGCTGTGGAGTCGGAAAGATTTTTGGGTAAAAGGAGTTGGAGTCGCTAAAAAACACTCCGACTCCAGTTTTTGTCCAATAGTTTGAATTTGAAACGAAATTAAAGTGAATTGAAAAAAAAATTATGACAAACTAAGTTAATATTTTTATTTATGGTCTATATACATTAATAAATAGTTATTTTCTATTTTATTGACATATTAGTAAATAAATATAAGGGAGCAGGATGGATGTAATATTTGCCATTTGTTGATGAAACTGATTCATTTAGTTACTAATCTCATTGGTGAATTGAGGTAAGCAGCAAGAACTCACGCAATTCTTTAGAAGCAAGCAGGAAAAGGAGCAACGCAATGGAGAAGTACTACATATTTGATGATATAGTGGTTGTTAGAATTAAAAACTTTTCAGAAGATGTAAATTACCCTAATATTTCCGCAGTGGCTAATCGCACCGACGGTGCGAATAGCTAACAGGCTATTCACACCACCTCGCGCATGCGCACAATCAGCCCAGGTACCAGCATTTTACACCGATTTCCGTAAGGCAGGCGGTAATGAGAGCAAATGTTGTTAATAGTTCACCAGCAAGAGAATAATTATTAGTTACAATTAGAAAGTAATAATTATCAGTTACAAAGACGAGGTCAAATCTATATACATGATAATGTTCAAGAAATGATTAGATAAAATAGGGATTTAATGATGGTTCTAATTGCAAGCGAGGACGAGTAATTAGTTAAAAAATATTTAGTGTATTGACAAAAAGGCTACAGAAATGACTAAAATTCTATTTAACAGAGAAATTTTTAGGCAAACTTAGAACCAATTCTTACAGCATAGGATTGTCAAAATTTATTATTCAATAAGAAAATTTACTGAAAATGATAATATTCTTATATATTCATTATTTTTTCAGTATTCACACAGGTTTATAGGTTCAAATGCCATATTTCAAAATAAAATAAAGTTATTTATGAAAATAAAGTTATTTATGAAATAAAAACCTAACAAAATCTGATAAATCATTTGTGTGTGCAAATGTTTAAATCTAAATCTCTTACATTAAATTATTTCTGTCTTTTAAATTACATCCCATTATTTATTTCAATTTAATTGATTAATATGTTTGTACTAATATTTCAAAGTTCTTTGAAGCATTATTTGTAGCCTGAAAATGCCAAGTATTTCCATAAAAAAAATAAGCAGGCATACAGAATAATTCATTTAATAGTTGATATAATCGCTTTTAACTTATTTCATGTCTCAATTTTCTACACAGAAATCCTCTGTCTAATTTTTAGTATCTTTTATCGGACGAAATATTTCAAAGAGGAATGAATTAAAGTATTGATTGCGCAAAACACATCTTTAAAGCTAAATGTATTCTAAGAAGTACAAAAAATGTAAACAAGATTTTGTCCCGCCCCCAAATCAGACATTTAAACTATTCAAACCGTTCAGGAAAACATTGCGAACATAAAAATCTGCTCTTTTTTATATATACTTTAATAAAAGGAAATGTGTTCCTTTTTTTTATAAGAAAAGGAACCCATTTTCCTTTCTAAACTTTTGACAGTCGCCAACGCTTAAAAAATGATAAACTACGCCAAGGTAGAAACCCGCCTTTTTAAAAAATAAAGATTCACTAAAGCAGTTCGCGTACGTAGAATCCGTTCGTTTCGATGGGGTTCAATTGATGGATCAAACAACTCAATGCGTGGTTAATGTTGGTGGGAATACCTTAAGCGGCTAATCGCACCGGTGGTGCGAATAGCATCGGCCTAATATTTCACTAACAGAAAGACTGTGGAATGATCTTGCAGAACTCGAAATCCTTCTTTCAACATCATATATAACCACGCAAAAGCTACAATCTAAAGAATTAACAAGAGGCAAGACTGGAAGAATGCGATGTTTGTTCTTTCTGAAATGGAAGGTTTATTGCAGAAGGAATAATTTCTTCAATGAAGAAAAAGAGAAACTAGTTTGCTAGACAATAAGATCGCGCTGGGTTCGATATATGTAGATCTAAAATGTCGAATTTTGTTGGATGACAAACAAATTAAAAAGGCAAAGAAAGCCATCCATGAACTTTCAGTAAGAATGAAATTATTCTCAGAATAATTAGAGAATTTGAATCAGGACAGTCAAAATACAGACATTGCATTTGAGTCTCTATCATCCTCTTCCAGTGATGAATTAGATTTTGAGAAGTATTTTTGGATAATATTGAAAAGGCTAAGGCAAAGCGAATGAAAATAAAGAACCAAGAGCCTTTAGATATAAAAATGGAAAAAATACAAACAAGATTTATACACAGCCTTT